AAGCACATCGCCTACTTACAAACCAAGTTCAAGCCCAAGTGAATCACCAAGCAACTTTCCTAGTAGATTGCCTTCTCGATATCCTTCTGAATCGCCGTCTCAATCTCCTTCCGTAAGCCCGAGTATCAGTAGCTCACCGACCTCTTCGCCGTCACATCAGCCGAGTGCTTTTCCAAGTTCTTCTCCTTCACATCAGCCTAGTGATTCTCCGAGCGATATTCCTAGTGAATTTCCCAGTACAACCACAGCGCCTCCAAGCTCCAGTGAAGATTTAATTTGTGAGGATGAATTTGCTCGCTTCACTGAAGATGGATCTGGAATTCCTACTGATTTGGTTTCTTGTATTTCCGAGGACAGGGAAATATTATTACCAAGAAAGGTTTCATTGTTTGATGAGGTAGGATTGGCTATTGGTGTGGTTAACATTGAATCTACTTGCACATCATTAGGGGCAACGGATATAACTGTTATACTGAGTCTAGAAGATGGCGAAAGTGTCACAGGTGATACAATCGTTTCAATATTGACCCCAAGTAATCGGATTTTGGTAGAAACTTCCTCGGTAGAATTGTTCGAAGACAGCACTGGATGGATATCTGAACTTTCTTTGTCTCAACAGGGAAGGGTCTTGATTGAACTTGTGACAGAGGTCAACGAACAAACTCTCACGCTTTCAGCTTTTGATGACATTAATAATAATATTTGTTTTGACTGCGGAGGAGAGGCAGCTTATTTTGCTGACCCCAATGGATTTTTGGAGCTCGGATTCCGCATCAACGCATACTCTGAAAACGATGCGAACACAGGGATTATCAACGCAGCTCGGTACATGCATACTCAGTTACATGAATTGTATGAAGAATTTGACGCAAACTTTGTCAGTGATGAAGTTGATACGTGCCTAATTGTACAAGAAAATAATGGCCTCACACCATATGCAAAACCTGACGGAGGAAATATAACATTCAACTTCACCGATACAACTGATGATTTCTTTCAGTTTCAGTTGTTCAATGTTGAAATCGGAGGAACTATTTTTGTTCTTGCAAATGACACAATTACAAAAATTTCAATGAAATCTGCGGTAAACGAAGTCCAAAATGTCGCGATTGACGTCCCCCATGTCAAGATGGTAACCATCCAATTTGACGGCAAAGGTGCAGTTTGTGGCATCAAATCTTGCCTTGACGGAGTAGCTCCATCACCGACTCCTGTAGGTTATAATCCACCCACGAAAAGCGATGTTCCTACGGCCAGTCCTTATCCTACTTGGAGCTCACCACCGAGTATCGAAAGTAATCAACCGACAGATTGCTATGACTTGTTAGGAATTACCGAAGAACATATAATAAACCAAATTGGCTCAGAAGAACCAATTCCTGAAGATTCAATCAAGGTCATCCATGGTGAATATGAAAACGCTACGATCGGTGAGTATGATGGACACGTTTCACAGTTGGCTCTGAGTTGTGACATTAAGTATACTAACCCTTAATGATTGTACTTCCTGGCTTTTTTCACCGTTTAGAAATTTCCCAATTATGGTCCGAAGATCTGAACTTGACATTTTTCATTCACTATCACTCAAACACTCACGAAAGCATCTGCGAAGGCATTTCAGATTTATCTTTTGGTGATAAAGTTATCAAGTCTTTGGAATGCTATGACGGTTGGACTGATGTTGGCATATTCATTTACTTCGACAAGGAGATAACTATTGAGGAGTGTCAAGAGTGTATGCCTCCTGAACCTGACGAGGAAGGTGTGATTGCATATTATTTTGAGGTAAGAGTAACTTTGTGGCTGTGAAAATCAATACTGCTCTATTTGTGAGAAACGCACTAATCTATACTGATTTTCTTTTTGCTTTGGTCATTGAACTCTTAGCTTCCATGTGAATCCATTTGCGAGAGTCTTGGACCAACCAAATCTCCATCTTTAACGGCTCCAACTTCGATTCCAAGTGCAGATATTGAGAGTATCCAACCAACAGACTGCTATGATTTGTATGGTATCACAGAAAAAGATATTATTCACCAAATTGGTTCTCATGAGCCTATCCCTGAAAATGCAATAGAGACAATTCATGGTGAAAGTACACATGTATCTATTGGTGAGTAATAATAGGTAATGGGGGTCTTTATCTAGAAGCACTTTTGAATTGAACTAACGTGCCAACTGCTGTTTCTTTTGATCCTTCCAGAAATTTCCCAATTATGGTCTAAAGATACAAACCTGACTTTCTTTATYCATTATCACTCAAATACACATGAAAGTGTTTGTGAAGGTATTCCTGAGTTTTCCTACAGAGACACATTGACTAGAGAGATTGAGTGCTATGATGGTTGGACTGATGTTGGCATTTTTATTTATTTTGATGATGAGCTGACATTGGAGGAAT